GCGCCGCATCGCCGCGCAGGCGGCGGCGGCGGCGGCGGTGACGCTCGCCGCGGACGGCGCGCCGCACGAGGAGATCCCCAGGTGAGACACCATCTCGGCCATCTCATTCAGGGCGTTCGCCAGCCCAACAACATCTGCGCAGGAACGCGCAAGCGCAGCGCCAGGGATGAGGGCGTGCGAGAGGTGACTGAACAAGAGCGGTGCGCCCGTGCCTCACGCCCGCGCGGCGGAACAGATCATTGTGGCCACAGGAGTGCCCGCGTCCGAGCCGCCGGCGGCCGACAGGGGACGCGGCGCAGGGGCGTTGTGCCGGCGCGGAGGAGGGGGCTCACCGGTGCAGTGTGGGTGCGCGACCATGACAAGCGCCGCCTGCTGCGGCGCCAGCAGGCGGCCAAGCACCCCCGCCGTGAACTCGCGCATTAGGCGGCCCTCCCCCTGGATGCTGGCCTGTGAGCGAGGGCGCGGCAATAGGAAGAGCAACAGTCAAACGAGGGTCCGGATGCGCCGCACATCGTGCACGATGCGGCAGCTGCGGAGTCGCTTGACAGCGCTGGTGAGCAAACAAGCGGCTGCTCGCCGGCCTCTCGGGCGCATGCGCTGGCAAGGCAGGCGCGCCCCTACACAGCCGCCGCCGCGCCCGCGCCGGCGGCCCACCTGCAGCTGCGCGGCAAAGTCCCGGACCGCGATGCTGCCACGCGCCATGCCGCCCACGTAGCCGCGCTGCTGCAGCTGCAACCGGCTGTCCGAGAGCTGGGCGCCGGGGGAGGAGGTGCAGAACGCGCCGGCCTGCTCGGCGGCCAGGGTGCAGCCTGGGGCGTGCGCGGCAATGGTTTTTTCCGGGGGGGGGGGGACGTCAGGTGGCCGAAACATCGTCATTTGGGGTCCGACCAAACCACGGACGTCCTTCCAAGGTGGAGCAGCGGTGCGCCACGCTGCCATCCCGTGCGCCGTCCCCACGTCTTGATCGAGCGATCCAGCCCTCCCCCAAAGAAGAGACCCACACACTCACATCACACACGTACACATGCGCACAACGCACTTATTCACACGAACACTCGCCAGCGCGCGCTCACGCGCGCGCGCGCACACAAACACACACACACACACACACACACACACACACACACACACACACACACACACGCGTGGGGGCACGCACACACCTGCCGCAAGCCGCGCAGCGAGCGCTCGGCGCTCTGTGAGGCACCGCGCCAGCGCCGCCAGCAGGTCGGCCCTCAGCGCCAGAAGCTCTCCCATCTGGCAGTCGGACAGGCGCACGTCAGCCAGCGCCTGGACAGGCGGATTCACAAGATCAAGGCGGGTCGGGAAAAGGTTTCAGCGGGATTGCTACTGTGGTGGCTGCGGGTGCGGGATGTGGCACGGGTAGGGGAGGTCGCAGCAAGCGGGGCCAAGCGAGCTGATCAGAGAGGCAGGCAGGCCGCCGATCGAGCCTGGCGCGGCCCTGGCCGCACCTGCAGCCAGTGCTGCTTGGGGTTGGCAGGCTCAGGGGCCTGGTCCTCCTCCTCTGCCGCGGCCGCGGCCATGTCCGAGGCGCTGCCGTGCGCCGAGCCGCGCCCGCTGCTGCTCGTCGCGGCCGGCGGTGGGCTGCCGACGTCGACGGCGGCGGCGCAGCTCTCCGCAGCGGCGGCCACGAGCGCCCCGAGCTCCTGGACCGCAGCCTGCGGCAGGGCCCCGC